TGAGGCAGAGCTGAGAAGTGAGCCCCTGTCCCCAGGAATGAGGGAACTTTACAGGGAAGGCGGTAAGGTCATGAACGCTGGCAGCAGAGAGAGTTCATGTAGCAGTGCAAACTCCCATGAACTCCACTATCCCCACGTGGATAGAGGTCCCTAGAACTACATGAACTTCCATGAACTGTCCTGGCAACATCTGAGCTCTGGCAGGAGTTTAGGCCGGCAGATCAGCAACTAGCTGAAACTTGTTGGCAATTCAGTTTTTCCACCAAAGCGTCAAGTCTGGGTCTGTAAGAAATGAAGTGAGATTTGAAAAGAACAACTATCAAATTATTGCATTGATGCAAGAGAGCAAAGGTGACTTAAGAACTCTTAGGGAATCTACAGAAACTTTTGCAAAGGAGCAAGACCTTCCCTGGCACCTCCAAGCGAAGGGGAAACTCACACTGACACACTGCTGCACGGCAAACCCAGCACCCTCCAACCAGGCACCCGGTTCCCCCAGGTCCCTCGCTAATTCCCACCAAGTCCCACATCCCCTGTCCTCGCAACACCTCCTGCTCAGCTGGAGGGTCACAGCTCAGGGGACACAGAGGGATATGGCCAGACTGAGCCAGCTCAGCACAGGCAATGCCACGGCCCTGAGGGGCCTTTCTCCCTGCCATCGCCATCGCCACTGCTGTTGGGATGTCACAGCTACCAGCCCCTGGAGTAATCTTGGCCAGGAAGCCTCCAGCCTGTTTTGAAGGGCTCACAACGCGTCAGCCATGCTCTGCAGTCTCCTAGAGCACCTCTGGCCCTTCCAATGGAGCAGTTCCTCGGATCAGAGTCAGACATCAACAAAACAGGAACTTGTGCGTGCCAGCTTTCCGTAGGATGTTGGGTGGGCTGCTTTGGCCATTGCAAGTGCAAGGACTATTTGCCAGGTTGCAGTAACCCATACCCAGCCTCTCATGAGTTCAGCTCTGGCTCAGCTTGGGAAGCCGTTCCCTAGAGACCCTCCCAGCTTCTTGGTTTCTCTCTTCTCTACCCGCCTCTCTCATCCTCTCTTCTAAGAGACCTTGAAGAGGTCATTGAACTTTCTAGTGTGGTTATAAGATACACGATGCCCTCTAGTTCTTATCCATGGTAGTATCATCACTTGAACAGCGAAATTCTAACAAGTACAGCTAC